GTGTGGATGTCTCCAGTACACTAGTGTGTATTGGTTCTGTACACTAGTGTGTATTGTTTGTGTACACTAATGTGGATGTCTCCAGTACACTAGTGTGTATTCGTTCTGTACACTAGTGTGGATGTCTCCAGTATACCACTGTGTATTGGTTCTGTACACTAGTGTGTATTGTTTGTGTACACTAATGTTTATGTCTCCAGTACACTAGTGTGTATTGGTTCTTTACACTAGTGTGGATGTCTCCAGTATACCACTGTGTATTGGTTCTGTACACTAGTGTGGATGTCTCCAGTACACTACTGTGTATTGGTTCTGTATACTAGTGTGGATGTCTCCAGTATCTTAGTGTGTATTGGTTCTTTACACTAGTGTGGATGTCTCCAGTACACTAGTGTGTATTGGTTCTGTACACTAGTGTGTATTGTTTGTGTACACTAATGTGGATGTCTCCAGTACACTAGTGTGTATTCGTTCTGTACACTAGTGTGGATGTCTCCAGTATACCACTGTGTATTGGTTCTGTTCACTAGTGTGTATTGGTTCTTTACACTAGTGTGGATGTCTCCAGTACACTAGTGTGTAGTCCTGATTACCACTGTTTAGTTGTTATGTACGTGAGTCTGAGATTTGCTGGAGGTTCCAGGTTTCTGCTGAGGGGTCAGTATGTCGGGTGCGTGAGAGTAATGTGTTCCGTGTGTGACTCATGCCGTTATTTGAGCGATGAATGTGTGTGCCGTGTGCGATGTCAAGTGTGTAAGGTGAAGTGTGTGCTGTATGTCATGTGTGTGCCGTGTGTGCCGTGTGTGATGTGAAGAGTGTATATTGAAGTGTGTGCTGTGTGTCATGTGTGCGCCGTGTGATGTGACGTGTGTATCGTGAAGTGTGTGCTGTGTGTCATGTGTGTGCCGTGTGTGATGTGAAGTGTGTATCGTGAAGTGTGTGTTGTGTGTCGTGTGTGATTTGAAGAGTGTATATTGAAGTGTGTGTTGTGTGTCATGTGTGTGATGTGAAGTGTGTATCGTGAAGTGTGTGCTGTGTGCCATGTGTGTCCCGTGTGTGATGTGAAGTGTGTATCGTGAAATGTGTGTTGTGTCATGTGTGTGCCGTGTGTAGTTATTTGAGTGATGAATGTGTGTGCCGTGTGATGTGACGTGTGTATCGTCAAGGGTTTGCTGTGTGCCATGTGTGTGCCGTGTGATGTGACGTGTGTAGTTATTTGAGTGATGAATGTGATGTGACGTATGTTTCGTGAAGTGTGTGCTGTGTTTCATGTGTGTGCCGTGTGATGTGGCGTGTGTAGTTATTCGAGTGATGAATGTGTGTGCCGTGTTTGATGTGATGTGTGTATCGTGAAGTGTGTGCTGTGTATCATGTGTGTGCCGTGTGATGTGACGTGTGTAGTTATTTGAGTGATGAATGTGTGTGCCGTGTTTGATGTGACGTGTGTATCGTGAAGTGTGTGCTGTGTGCCATGTGTGTGCCGTGTGTGATGTGAAGTGTGTATCGTGAAGTGTGGGCTGTGTGTCATGTGTGTGCCGTGTGATGTGACGTGTGTAGTTATTTGAGTGATGAATGTGTGTGCCGTGTTTGATGTGACGTGTGTATCGTGAAGTGTGTGCTGTGTATCATGTGTGTGCCGTGCGATGTGACGTGTGTAGTTATTTGAGTGATGAATGTGATGTGACATGTGTATCGTGAAGTGTGTGCTGTGTGTAAAGTGTGTGCCGTGTGTAGTTATTTGAGTGATAAATGTGTGTGCCGTGTTTGATGTGATGTATGTATCGTGAAGTGTGTGCTGTGTGCCATGTGTGTGCCGTGTAGTGTGACGTGTGTAGTTATTTGAGTGCTGAATGTGTGTGCCATCTTTGATGTGACGTGTGTATCGTCAAGTGTGTGCTGTGTGTCGTGTGTGTGCCGTGTGATGTGACGTGTGTAGTTATTTGAGTGATGAATGTGTGTGCCGTGTTTGATGTGACATGTGTATCGTGTGGTGTGCCATGTGACTAAGCAACGCAACTCTCTCGGTACCTAAATTTCGTATGCCGATACATCTACACTGACCACAGTTTTAAATCAGTCTAATTGAAAACCACAGAAGGTGTGTCGTTTGTACCTTGCGTAACTTGCGTGCCTTATGTGCCATGCTTGATGTTTGTCATGTGTGCCTTTATTGATCTGTGTCGTGTGCGCCATGTGTGACGTGCCTGATGTGTGTCGCATGAGCCGTGAATGATATATGTGCCGTGTGTGCCTTGTGTGACGTGTCTGGTGTGTGTCGCATGAGCCGTGAATGATATATGTGCCGTGTGTGCCTTGTGTGACGTGTCTGGTGTGTGTCGCATGTACCCTATAGCAATTTGGTGTGTGTGGAGTGTTAGCTGTGGGGATTATGTACGGATGTGTACGGATGTGTACGGATGGCCTTCACTATCTAGAGTGTAACAACAATCCAAGTAACACACAACCGCATCTACCCCAACATCAACGACGGTGAGGACTCGTTGTAATTATTTTTATGCATATTTCACCGTTGTCCTCCCCGCTACCGAAGCTCCAGTTTTTGAATAGAAGCAGTTATATCAGGAACTGAATAGAGGGAATCAAGATACTGGTACGGCTTTACCAAAATGGCGTTTTTGTGAGCCTGGGGGTTTGCACAAAGTATTACTTCAGTCGATGCAATTTACATCGGGGATACTACAGTACTACAGGCTGACTTGTATGTCAAGCTGAGAAGTTGGATCGGGGGATCGGGGCCAGTAGGTCTTTGTTCCTCTGTCATTAGTTGGAGCGCAACACTGGCAGGCGTAGAGTCGAGGCGTCGCTCACAACATCTTCTGAAAGAAGAAACCAGTTCACAATCAGACTAATAACATCTTAGGACACTTTGAAAAGGACGCAGCATCTTACATTTTATAAACTATATTTTGAAGCTCTGATGAGGTGTAAGTACTCCAATTTCGTGGACAGCCCCTTGTAACTCGGCACGCTGACCCGGGCACATTTGAAGGCTCCTCTTAAGTTCAGGACAACCAGCCAAGCTGTCTATGTAAACGTTACGTTACCAACAATTTCGACACTCTTTTCAAATCTTTGATAAAAAAACCTCCTGGGGATAGAATTGGAAAAGTTACTCAAGCAGGCCTTCGTATTATCAGAACCGGTATCTTGTTGAAAGTTGCGCTGGGAAGATTGGTGTTTGCTGTCGATGAAATTGATGATATTAAGGGATTTCATTTGAAAGAACGAATTAAATGACCTTGCATCAATGTGGGCCACACTTGATAAAGGAAATTGAAGAACAAGAAATTCTTCAGTTTATTGCAAGTAGCAAGATGGTTTGTGAGGATATTTTGTGGACGCTGTCAGCGGGACTGTATGACTAATGGGTGAGCGAGACGTGTAAACAGTTGCTGACGTGTAAACGGCGTTCTGGCATTGTTTCTTCACTTTCCGCTTTACTGTAACCAGCCACAGTGCGAAAACATGTTTTATCATTTGTATAAGGCCAGATCCGGATGATGTTTAACGCAGTTTCAAATAGAGGACTTATAGGTTTTAACGATAACTGAAATGAAAACACTAAAAGCTAACAAATCAAAACGGTGTTTCTACCATGAAGTTATATAATTTATACATATTTGGCTAACAAAAACATGACGTTCTATTTCCAAAATGAACACCAAATGGTGGTTTCTTCACATTTTAGAATATTTATCAAATGAATTGATATTAACGGAGAGACGGACAGTGTTATGAAAACAAGTATATGGAATCCCTAACAACTAGATATTATATATTGTGACATTTCTAAATGATTTAAGTAAGTATGCATGATGTAAGGGGCCGTTTCGTGCTGTCTCCTTTCGCAAACTTCGCAATGCCTTTCATACAGGTTTTACTGAAAACATAATTAAGTAAATGAAGTGTTTGGACTCGACTTGTCAATCAAGAAAGCAATACGCTAACTGAGAAAGCGAAACCCTGAGAGCTAATCCCATACAGTAATCCATTAGTGAGGGAGTATGGTTTTACAACGCATTTGATAATAAACGCTCCCCGAAATCACTCAATTCTTGATTCCACTTCCGGAATCAGCTGATTAGAAAGTCCGCAATGACGCGTTGCACGTGCAAGGACCAGTTGCTCTTTTGCAATGCATGGTGTAATACTCCATTCCAAGCAACCGTCTTGCTCGAGTTAACATCAACCTTACAATAGGAACACATTTGTCTGAATCAAACTGTATGGGTATTGAAAAACACACACAAACTAATCTCACATCTTAAATGTGTAGCATTTCTGATGATACTGATGTGTTTGAGTGACATTGTTAATTATGTGTTCAAAACATCTGCCACTTTGGTAGGCCAACAGGTTCAATCTTGTCGGACAAAATAACGGATTTTGTACCACATCAGAAAGATTGGTCAGTCATGCTGCGTGACTGACATGTGTCATTTCGTTCTGTCCAAATAGGCTAGGGTATTTTATTGACCACTTGTGCATATGAAACAGGAAACCCTGAGACCTGAAAAAATGTAATTCTTAAATTATAGTTATGTGTTTCTTAAGCCCCTTTCACATGGACACCTTTACTTATGTGAGTACACATACTTATGTAAATTAATAAATATACTTAGGGTGGCATGTGAACGTATTTGCTTACATGAGTAAATTTACTCCTGGAGTAAACAGACCTAAGTAAAAATATATTTACTAGACCCCAAGAGGTCTAGTAAAAGTATATTTACTTATAAGTATAAATCCTCAAGAAGTATTTGTGATCATGTGAACAGAATTTATGTTTGCTTAGGTGAGTATTTCACCACCTTCAGAATTGGGTTTAGACTACAAAATCAGTCACAATGTTAATTAGAATGAAGGCATTCTGCAACGTCATCTGTCACTCAGTCTCTTTGCACACAAATCAGCTTCCTCACCATCTCCATCGTCTTCATCAATTGCATTCCACTTCTCCATTTCCGTCATCATCGTTTTCAAATTTCAGCCCACATGTAGTTTTCCTGACGCATTTCACACAAGTTATGCAAAATGACACAAGCAGTGATGACAGTGCTAACAAAGCCAACATCCACATCTAAACGCTTCATTAGGCACGTCCAGCGTCCTTTCAAACGCCCAAAGATATTCTCTGTAGGCATCCGTGCACGACTCAATCTGTAGTTGTATTCCTTTTGCACCTTTGATAGTTTCGCAATGTGTGTATATGGTTTTAGAAACCATGGTTTCAAAGGATAGGCTGCATCAGCAACAATCACGATTGGCATTAGCACTTGTCTGTCGCGTAGTAGCAGCTGCTTTGTCCACTTTGGCAACAGGTCACTTGTCTCCCCCTTGTAGTACAGCTCTGAGTTGCCAAAAACCCTGACATCATGCACTTTGCCGGGCCAGCCAACATTGATGTTCGTTATGATGTACCGATGGTCATACACTGCCTGCAGATGAATGGAGTACCATCCCTTTCTATTCAGGTAGTCACCATGTGCCAAGGATGGTGCGATGATTGGGATATGTGTTCCATCAATGGCACCCGCACAGTTAGGGAAATCCCAAGTCTCTTCAAAGCCCTGAATCACATGTGGAACTTCACATATTTTGTTGGCAATCTTTCGGATATCGCATTGCAGACGCCATGTACACATTTGTGAACTGTGGAAACTCCTACCCCAAAGAGATTAGCAATAGCTCTATACTCGGCAGAGGAAGCAAGCCAGTAGACTGCAGTGCACACCTTGTGGTCCAGTTCCAGAGGTTCCCTTACATAAACATCCATTGTGGGAAAACATGGCTGTAGTTCATTGCAAGAACATAAAATGTGTCTCTATAGTGCGTTTGGCTCAAAAGCGGACCGATGTATTGCAATCTAACTCGAAAACTTATAAACATATAATACTCAATGAAACGCTGATCATAATTAAAACATCAGACCAACTCTGTGATTTGTTGGCAGAATTTATGTCCCAAAATTAAAAATGTTGTTTAACAAACTAACATTAAAATATTGACACAGTTCACTATTTGTTACGAGGGGAGGACTACAGAGAAGGGGACAGCAAGGTGTTAGAGAAGCACGTGCACAAGTACCGACAAAGTTATTGATTCATTAACCTGTGCTGTGCCGTCTCCATCCTTTCTCGAACACCTGGCTGTCCCTTTCTCTGCACTCCTCCCTCGTAACAAATAGTGAACTGTATCAATATTTAAATGATAGTTTGTTAAACAACTTTTTTATTTTTAGGACATAAATTCTGCAAAAAAAACTCACAGAGTTGGTCTGACGTTTTGATTATGATCAGTGTTCCATTGAGTATTTTCTGTTTATTAGTTTTCGAGTTAGATTGCAATTCATCGGTCCGCTTTTGAGCCAAACGGACTATAGTCATGCGAAAGTTCTCTATCCAAAGTGTGTCATCTAAGGACATCTTCATGGTTTGAGACCACCAATGGCGACACCGTTCTCTACTCCTTACTTCTCTCTCACGACACAACCCCAGGGCCAAACCCATACTGACAAAGTATGGGAAATCTCTCCTCCGTTTTTGCATGAGCAGCCTACTCAACGATATTGTCTCAAATGATGAAAATTCAGTTATTCTAATCACTAAATTATGTTTACTTATACCTTATATATATGTATATTTACTTTTACTTATGTGAGTTTATTTACTCACGTAAGTAAATTGTGTCCATGTGAAAGAGGCTTTAGCTTTTTCATTAAAGGTTAATCTGATTAATTGAACATGAGTGAGTGAGTATTGTTTTACACCGCTTTTAGCAATATTCCAGCAATATCAGGGCGGGGGACACCAGAATTCATGTGAGGAATCGAACCCGGGTCTCCAGCGTGCCGAGCGAACGCTTTAACCACTAGGCTGCCCCACCGCCCCCTTGTAGGCAAGAATAACTGACAACTAAGTTGTCCATTTGAACAACTGATTGATGTCACGCATGTTTCAACTACACAATACACGATCTATAAATTAGGCACATGAGTCTTGGATTTGTCCAAGCTTCAACGTAGATACAATAACCTACAAATATGGGGTAATTCTTGTAACAATCTTTGTGACTTGTGGTCCAACATGTGAATCCCTAACGATCGACGATATTCATCTGCCTCACGCCAAACACGGCGTTCGGACTTCCTTACATTAAAAGCACTATGTTTTATTAATACAACTCATGACTTTGGTCAATTGTACAATAATTAATTACCAGATTGACTGGAGATAGCGCGTGATTGATAGGTTTTACGGACAGTTAGGTATTCAGGACCTACGGTGGATCTGTGAATAATACATACAGAGAAGAGTGGTGCATGAGGGGTAAATGAGAAGGTCATTATTCTGAATATTTTGTCCTGAAGCTCCTTTTGAAGAATGTTTGAAAGAATGTGTCTTTGCGATTGGAGACGTATCATAGAGGACAGTTTTCAGAGAGGATTTCCGAAGGGACAGGATTTCAGATGAGAGAGGTCTTCGATTTTATGTGGAATGGATTAAAATCGGGAAGTTATCGGTTTACGACGCTGCGGAGAAAACAAATCTCATTTACATTCTCTTTCTGTCATGTACAGACATCAATGATAGAACGAAAGCGAATAATGGCGTTTATGACATTCAACTACATTAATTCAGAAACACTGAACGAGTGTGGTCACAAACTGTTAAAACGGTAAAGGCAAACTGTTGCGTATCTAAATGGTGTAAGTATACACATCATACAACAGCGATATAGCGTTATGGACTCGGATCAACCCTAGCTATAACAGGACAATTGGCATCAATAATATATGCCCGTGCAGGAGGCGATGCGGCACTGCTTAATTCGACTGGCTTCTTCTCTTCCAAGTGGCTGGTTGATGTTAGTATCACGTCTTTGTGTTTGTGTTAATTAATGGAAACCATTAGATACTGACCTGTATCATACATAATTCATTTTTGCATTGACAGGCCCCAGTGTAGGTTAGGTCTGATGGCGGGGCCTGGGATTGCACATTGTGGTAAGCTTACGGGAGATCGCTGCCGACCCCTCTCACGCCAACGTTCTTCATCCCGTTGTTGCTGCCGTGTTTGGAGATGGCAATCAGCTGTAGGAACAGCTGGAAAAAGCTGTGGAATCAGCTGTGGAGACAGGACTAACCTGATTTGACATAATGAGTTAACATTTTCCACGTGATAATTCCAGATAAAAGGCAGCAGTCCGAAGATCCCATCAATCGAGGAAGTCCCATGCTTTTGATCAATGACACGAGCACATTACTGGAGCAGCAGCGGGATGCTCGTTCTTTACGTGATCAGAGATATCAAGTCATATTTGTCAACGCTCATGTCAGGTCGACCAGGTACATGGATTTGCCTTAAGCACCAAATCTTATGCCACAGTGTACAGCAGTATGTATACAAAAGATTATTGATGAATAGCCATGTAAATACACCTGATAAACGGCTTGTTTTCGTTTGACTGAGGTTCAGGATAAACAAGTAGAGTTAATTATTGGAGAATTTTGACATTTACTCGTGGATCCCGTGACTCTTGTAGATCGGGAGAGATTGACGTGTCTGGAATTGACAAGATGAGGATTGACCTCCGGCACGTTCTGTAGTCCAGAATTCTATAGCAGTGATCAATCCAGGTATAACACACACCGGAACACAAGCCTACATCAGTGATCAAACTGGTGTAACACACACTAGAACACAAGCCTACGTCAGTAATCAAACCGGTGTAACACACACCAGAACACAAGCCTACATCAGTGATCAAACCGGTGTAACACACACTAGAACACAAGCCTACATCAGTGATCAAACCGGTGTAACGCAAACAAGAACACAAGCCTACATCAGTGATCAAACCGGTGTAACGCACACAAGAACACAAGCCTACATCAGTGATCAAACCGGTGTAACGCACACAAGAACACAAGCCTACATCAGTGATCAAACCGGTGTAACGCACACAAGAACACAAGCCTACATCAGTGATGAAACCGCTGTAACACACACCAGAACACAAGCCTACATCAGTAATCGAACTGGTGTAACACACCGGAACACAAGCCTACATCAGTGATCAAACCGATGTAACACACACTAGAACACAAGCCTACATCAGTGATCAAACTGGTGTAACACAAACCAGAACACAAGCCTACATCAGTAATCGAACTGGTGTAACACACCGGAACACAAGCCTACATCAGTGATCAAACCGATGTAACACACACTAGAACACAAGCCTACATCAGTGATCAAACCGGTGTAACGCAAACAAGAACACAAGCCTACATGAGTGATGAAACCGCTGTAACACACACCAGAACACAAGCCTACATCAGTGATCAAACTGGTGTAACACAAACCAGAACACAAGCCTACATCAGTCATCAAACTGCTGTAACATACACCAGAACACAAGCCTACATCAGTCATCAAACTGGTGTAACACAAACCAGAACACCAGCCTACATCAGTCATCAAACTGGTGTAACACAAACCAGAACACAATCCTACATCAGTCATCAAACTGGTGTAACATACACCAGAACACAAGCCTACATCAGTCATCAAACTGGTGTAACACAAACCAGAACACAAGCCTACATCAGTCATCAAACTGGTGTAACACAAACCAGAACACAAGCCTACATCAGTCATCAAACTGGTGTAACATACACCAGAACACAATCCTACATCAGTGATCAAACTGGTGTAACACAAACCAGAACACAATCCTACATCAGTCATCAAACTGGTGTAACACAAACCAGAACACAAGCCTACATCAGTGATCAAACTGGTGTAACATACACCAGAACACAAGCCTACATCAGTCATCAAACTGGTGTAACACAAACCAGAACACAAGCCTACATCAGTCATCAAACTGGTGTAACACAAACCAGAACACAAGCCTACATCAGTCATCAAACTGGTGTAACACAAACCAGAACACCAGCCTACATCAGTCATCAAACTGGTGTAACACAAACCAGAACACAATCCTACATCAGTCATCAAACTGGTGTAACATACACCAGAACACAAGCCTACATCAGTCATCAAACTGGTGTAACACAAACCAGAACACAAGCCTACATCAGTCATCAAACTGGTGTAACACAAACCAGAACACAAGCCTACATCAGTCATCAAACTGGTGTAACATACACCAGAACACAAGCCTACATCAGTCATCAAACTGGTGTAACACAAACCAGAACACAAGCCTACATCAGTCATCAAACTGGTGTAACACAAACCAGAACACAATCCTACATCAGTCATCAAACTGGTGTAACACAAACCAGAACACAAGCCTACATCAGTGATCAAACTGGTGTAACATACACCAGAACACAAGCCTACATCAGTCATCAAACTGGTGTAACACAAACCAGAACACAAGCCTACATCAGTCATCAAACTGGTGTAACACAAACCAGAACACAAGCCTACATCAGTCATCAAACTGGTGTAACACAAACCAGAACACAAGCCTACATCAGTCATCAAACTGGTGTAACACAAACCAGAACACAAGCCTACATCAGTCATCAAACTGGTGTAACATACACCAGAACACAAGCCTACATCAGTCATCAAACTGGTGTAACACAAACCAGAACACCAGCCTACATCAGTCATCAAACTGGTGTAACACAAACCAGAACAAGAGCCTACATCAGTCATCAAACTGCTGTAACATACACCAGAACACAAGCCTACATCAGTCATCAAACTGGTGTAACACAAACCAGAACACAAGCCT